GAATGCTTGTTTCCTTCCCCAGATTAGGGAAGTGCTCAGCTATGATTTGCTCAAATATACCTTTTAGCCCTCTCTCTCTCTCCACCCCCTCAAGGATCCCAATAACTCTGACATTGGAAAGTTTCATGGCATCATTAATCTCTGCAATCCTTTTCTTATGTGTTACCAGAAGCCTATCTCCGTTTCCCTCCACTTTCTTCTTTTCCATCAGCTTGTCTTCTAGATCACTAATTTGTTCTTATGCCTCATTTACCCTGGCTGTTAGAGTATCCAGTTTAGACTGTATCGCATTCATAGCATTTTTAAGTTTGGCCTGATTAGATCTCATTTCTGTCCTTAGAGAGTGTATATTGTCACCAGTGCTTCTTTCAAGCCTAGCTATTGACTTCATGATTGCTATCCTGAATTCTATCTCTGACATTTTGCTTATATCCATTAGTTCTGTGGCAGATGACATTGTCTGTTTCTTTTCTTTGTTGAGAGTTCCTCCTCCTAGTAATTCTGCTGAGGGATGGTTAAGTGAATGAGCAGAGTCCAAAATATCAACCACGAACCAAGCAAGGTGCACTCTAGGAATGTCTGGAGTAGTCGGAAGCCACCACCGAAAAAAACAAAGCCAGAATGAAACACAAGAATAAAATGTATAAAATTAAAAAAAATTTTTTTTTAATTTTAAAAGGGGTGAGGGGAAGGGGAGGCTATAATCTCTCAGTGTGGAAAAAGGAGGGCATTTCAGTTGTTCCTGGGTGTATTTTGGGCTGTTAGAGAACACCACTTTCCAAAATTACAGGGAAAGTAAAACTTGTATATATATATAAAGGTAAAATTGAATAGGGAAAAAAAGACTACAATAAAGCATATATCTATAAAAAAATATAGGTGTGAAAAAGTACAAGTTAAAAAGCTACTATGAAATGTAAGTTGATATATTAAACATCTAGTTGAAATGAGAAAAAGGTAAAAAGAAAAAACAGAGAAGAAGCATAAGAGAAAGAATAAAAAGAAAAAGAGAGTTGTATCTGAAAAATAAGCCGTGAGGCAATGCCTTGAGCTCAATATACTATTTTCCCCTGGTGTTGGGCTTTTACAGTCTTATGGGGTCCGTAGACTTGTGCTCTTGTTCTTCCAGCCCAGCTTCTGGGGGAGGGGCCCGCCGCCTGTTTTCTTGGGCAGCCCTGCCTGCGCGGAGTTGCCCCGCCCTCCGTCAGGGGGATGAGCTCCGTGGAGACCAGGTGTGTGTGTGGCTTTTGCTCCCCGGCGGCTCTCCGTGCCTCTCCCGAGGGTCGGAGCAAAGATGGCCGCAGCCAAACCTCTGGCCCAGAGCAGAAAATTCAGTCTGCTCTCCTCACTAAACCTTCCAGGACAAACAGTCTCCGTTTCTGTGTGTGCTGCCAAAAACCGCTCCCAGAGTTCGGCCCAGGGCCCCGGGCCTGTCCCTGCCCTTTGTGCTTCTAAAACCCGAGTGGTCCTGGGCTTGTGAGCGCATCCACCTGCAGCTATGGGTCTGGGCGCTGCTCTAAAGCCCTTTCCCCGCTGCTAACGCTCCGCCAGTTTTTGCCTGGTCCCCAGCGCAGGTTCTAGATTTTTTCACGCTGCCCGGGAGAAGAGCGATTATCCACCGGCCCGGCTTGCGGTTTATGTGGATCGGAGCAGAGAGACCCTTCCTGGGCTCGCTGCCCATGACCTGCTTCCTGGCTCCACTGCTCGGGCACTAAGCCGGGCCAGGAAGCCCCTTTAGCCCTGCAGTTCCTCCTGTCCCAGGACCACAGTGTTCCACCTAGAATTCTGCCTTTTCATTTCCTGAGCCCCTTTCAGAGAGGGATGTTGCTCCCTAGAGCAGATTTCTAAGGGTTACGCTTTTCCGCTCCGGTGTTACATCACTTTCCAGGAGGCAGCTTGTGGAGGCTCTCCCACTTCTGTTTATCTTCCAATATCTCCCCACAGATTCACGACTCCAAATGTCCTACCTTGCAACAGGCTTTTCTGTTTGTAGAGATCCAGATTATATTCTTACAACTCAGGCTGATTTCGTGGGTGTTCAGAATGGTTTGGTAGATATCCAGCTAAATTCAGGGACTGGTTGAAACGGGCTCCCCTGCTCCTCTGCCATCTTGCCTCTTCTCCCCCAATCCAGTACCTTTAAAAATGACCAAAGAGACACCGTGCTTCCTCGGTTAGTAGGGCATGTGGTTACTGATGTCGTGAGTTTGAGCCCCACATCGAACACAGAGTTTACTTAAAACACAAAACAAAAGAAAACAAAAGCACTTCCAAAGGACCCAAATCGATTAGGCTCCAACAATTGAGCTGGTCGGTGGTGGGCTGGATCCTCTGGCCTGTTCATCAGCCGCTGTGCCCTGAGCACTCAGATGAGGCAGGTGCTTCTCAGCCACCCAGGTTCTCCCTCTAGGAGCTCAGGGTCTAGAGGGAAGATGGACAAACATGGATGAAAAACGTGAATGAAAAGAGCAGTTGCTCCATAGGAAGAGAGCAGGGGCGACAGCTGGGTCCCGAGCTCCGGCAGGTGAGGGGTCTGACAAGGCCGTGCTGAGGTGACATTGAGATTTCCTGAGGCAGGCCAAGGAGACACCCCAGCACAAATCCAAGTATATGCAGCCAGCAGAGGGCACCACGCTGCAGAGGAGTGGAGGCCCAAGTTGATGTTGCCAGAGTGGAGGTTAGAAAGGAGGCCAGGGTGGCTGGAGGAAGCTGAGGAGGAGAGCAGAGAGGGAGAGGACGGGCAGGGCCTGGGGCAGGTGGACAGTCTCAGCGCCCTGCTCCTAGTGCTGGGTCACACCACATCTCCCCACACTCGGTGGCTTCGCCCACAAACACTCACTGGGGCACAGTCTCCGGGGATCAGGACTCCAGCAGTGCTCAGCTGGGGGCTCCTACCAGAGCCTCTCAGGAGGTTGGGGCTGTTGACAACACCAAGGCAGGACCTGCTTCACTTAGAACCCGAGCTCACTTAGGGGTGTTGGCAGGATTCAGTCCATCTCGAAGGCCTGAGTTCTTCTGTCTGTTGTTGGCCCTCAGTGCTAGGCCACGTGCACATGCCTGTGTCATGGTTCCACATAGGGGCTTGTTCCCCAGTGTGGGGATCTGAGAGAACACGGGTCAGGGTCAGCAGGGGGCTAGGCACAGAGCTTTTATAACTGAATCTCAGAAGGGGCTTTGGTTCATGTTGCCATGTTCTGTGGAATGGAAGTGAATCACTATGTCCAGATCACACTCCAGGGGAGGGGGTTATACAAGGATGTGTACACAAGATTTGGGGATCGGTGGGAGCCACTGAGGGGAGAAGGGGAAGACCTCTGCCGGGTCAGTGCCTTGCCCAGAATCAAGGACTGGTAAGAAGGCTGGACCAGGCACGAACCCAGCTCTTTGAATGTCCTCAAAGTTGGGGCCCTGGATGCACCTCACCATTCAGTGGGAGCTCTGGAAAAGGTCGTGTTGAAGTAAGTGGCTACAGACATGGAGATGATGTGGGGGTGAGGGTGAGCACTGATATCCTACAGGAGGCATTCCAGCACGTTCTTGTCTGAGGAGGAGCCAGGTCACGGCAACCCACTGAGTGGCCCCCCCATCCACATCACACCCATTGGAAAGGAGGTAATGGCTCGCAGCACAGGACAGGCAGACTCTAGTAAGGGTGGATTCTGACATTCAAGGGCCAAGGCTCCACCGCCTTCTTTAGGGTTTGCTCTGGAAATTAGGAAGCCTAAGATCTTGGGAAGCTATTGCCCATCCCTCTGTCGGAGGGGCTGCCATCTTCTGGGTCTCCAGAGTGTGAGCCCTGGTGTACACATGTGCACAACATGCTGAGCGTCCACATGCTCACAGCACACGCACACACACACACACAGACACCAGTAGGGATTGTGGGGTGGAATCTGACCAGTAGCGGACTCAGAGAAGGTGAGAAGAGGAAGAAAATGTGGTTGGAGGTACTTCCTACATGAAACACCACTCCTCCAGTTTCATAGATATCATCCCACATATGCCTGGGACGTCTGGAGGAAGTCCGTGCTGGAATACTGTGCACTGGATAGACCAGACACAGACCGTCCCTGACAAGCACAGTGGCTTAGGCAGGGTCAGACCAGGTAAGAGTGGAGGGTTGTGTCTGACACCGGGTGTGTTTCCAAGCTGGGGCCCTGGCTGCACCCAGACCTTGCCTGCGGGCTGTGGTGAGGGGTGCGCTGTGTCACTGGGCACAGATGTGGCCTTGCATGCAGACCGGGGATGAGCAGCCGGCAGCCCAGAGCACTGTTGGTGGGGGTGTCAATCCAGGAGTGGACCCAGGTAGGGGATCCCAGGCAGTGAAGTCACTTCCTTGACCACAGACCCCAAAAGAACTTGGAAGCCCCGTGACCAGGCACCCACATTCTACTGTAGTCCCGTATCAGGGTCACTTGACTGGAGACATCCGATCGTGAAAGATGTTCTCTTGTTGTTTGCCTACTTCCTGGGGCTCTGGCTTCCAGAAACCCCAGGGTAAGGGCTTTTTCACCTGCTGCAGACATTGGCTCAAGGCTCGCCCCCGCTGCCTCAGGGCGTTTGGCACGAGGGGCCATAAGGTAATACAGAGAAGGCCGGGCCAGGCCAAGCCACCTCCCTGAGCCACCCCAGGGCAGCCCCATCCCCTCCTCTTGAGTTTCCGGGAAGGAGGGATGTGTGGGGAGGTCCTGCCACTGGGCTGGAGGACGTCACAGGGCAGCGGATGCCCTGGCAGTGCCTTCATGTTCACACCGACGTCATGGTGGGCGGGGGGTGGGGAGGTGGGAGGGCGGGCGATGAGGATCCCTGAGGGCCTCTCACCTGTGCCAGAGTGAATCCAAGGCCCTGAGGCTGTGTCACGTTTCTCTCTGCGGTGGAGGGCTGTGCATCCTGTGGTGTGGTGTGTGTGTGGAGTGGAGTCCCTGGATCCGAGGCCCAGCAAAGGTAGCCGCACAGGGCTCTGAGGCCTCGTGCCTGGCTGCCTGGCACTGTCTCTACAGAGCTCCCGACAGGAGACGGGGCAGGACCTGGACGATGAGGGCCTCCGCGCTCCCTCCGTGAAAGACAGGAAGGTGCCCCGCACTGGCAACAGAGTCCAGCGCTGGCTCAGGGTGAGTGCAGGTGCTGGGCTGACCCACCCCCCAGGGCCCCGATGCAGCAAAAGGGCCTCAGGTCCCAGAAGCCAGCCTGCTACTGCCCTGGGCTCCCTCCCACAGTCCTGCTCCATCTGAATCTGCATTCCCATCTCCTCCCCAAACTTGCCCTCAGGGCCCTGCCCCTGCCTGGGCCAGATGCATCGCCACTGTCCAGGTATTTGTAGGAATATCAGAAAAGAGACTTTAAACCATGTCTCATCCCATTCAGCTAGAATCGTCTTGTACTGTGCTATGCATTTTGCTAAGTAGCCCTCCGGGTGTCCCCTTTGGCCTAACAGTCCTTCCCCATCTTCTCCAATCTTGCACATGATCATGGTGAGTTGGGAGAGTTTTCCCCAAAGGGACATGGGGCTCATGGTACTATGTCTCCTGCTTTGCCCTTTGGTTGTGAAAGTCCACATCCCTCGAGCCCCTACAGGGTCAGGGGCAGGGGCCTCATTGTACAACATTCCAGAAGGCCAGTCGGATACCACAGCCACTGAGGCCTTGACTGATGCAGGGCTTTGATGGGACTCCCCTCTGTGGCCAACTCACAGTGCTGCACTAAACATCCTACATGCCCTACTATCCTGAGCCCTCTCACCTAGAAAACGTGTCTGTGCTCTCATGTCAAGAATGGGGTATGTTGTCAGAGATCACGGGATCGGTGCCGTTCATGCGGGGAGGTGGTGTCCATACTCAGCTAACAAGCTGACCTGACATAAAACTTGTTCCGACATCATCGACTTCAATTCCTTGTATGGATGCCAAGGACCTTTTTCTTTTTCCTGAAAGACTTACTGATTGGTCGATTGATTGATTGATTTGAGGGAGAGGCAGGGGGAGAGTGGGGAGAAGCAGAGGAGAGACAGAATCGTCAAGCAGACTCTGCCCCTAAGTACAGAGCCCTACGAGGAGCTCGATCTCAAGACATTGAGATCGTGACTGAGCCAAAACCAAGAGTCTTAGGATTAACCCAATGAACCACCCAGGCACCTCATTGTTTTTTCTACTATAGGCCCTCTTGTCCCACCTGTTGCCATAAGTCATTGAGATCTTGGGGATTTGGTCTGCGCTCCCACCCCCAACCCTCCTGGTGGCTACAGAGCTGAGTGCATGTCTCCTCCATTTCACCTCAGGATAAAAACGGCTCAGCCACAGAGAGGAATGAGACCCGCGTGCTCTGGACCAACCAGGCTGACCTGCTGGAGATGCCAATACCACCTGGTGCCCGCCTTCGTAGGCAGAGACCTCAGCCACATCTCCACATTCCTAGGCACGTACACAGCTTTTGCCACCACCCCGAGGTGCTGGACCTCTTCTTTACAACGTGAGCACCCTGCCCCTCCACAGCCCAGTGAGATCTGGCCACCGCCTGGTTGTGAGTCTTGGGAATGTCACCAAACTTCCTCGAGCCTCGCTTTGCTCCTCTGACTGGGGCAGACTTATTATAGGGACTCGGTGGTGTCCTTTAGGGAAAGTACACCTGGGGGCCTGGGCCTGCAGAAAGGCCTGCTAGAGGGGCTGTGGTTGTGCTCATTTATCATTGTCCTGCTCCTCACGAGGAATCCTCTGCCTCATCCCTCACTGTCACTATGGTCTCGAGCTGGGCTGTTTTGCCATTTGAAAGGGAGATTTGAGACTCCCTCTGGGGTCCGTGTCCTGGGTGAAACCAGAGCAGGGATGCCTGGGGCTGAGCAGGGGGCCCAGGCCCACTCAGATATCTGGGATGGGGTGGTTGGGGCCCTTCCATTCATCAAGCATTCAGGAAGCCCCACTCAGTGCAGGCACTTCCCTAGATGCTGACTGACCCCTGCACAGAGCAGACAGCGCCCCAGGGCTCCAGACTAGTCGGGGGTCAGACAGTGACGCTAGACATGATGAGAAGTGACGTCCACAGGACATTTCATGTGGTGCCCCTCTGGCCTCCTCTAGATATGGGGGCATTCCCTCTACTTCGGATGAGCTCGGCGGAGGCCTGGAGCAGCGGAACATGTGAGTGAGCTTCGGCTACTGCAGGAGGGAATTCCCTCCCCAGGAGGGCAGCGAGGGGACTGTGAGATGGGGGGCAGCTGGACCCTCATCCCACACAACTGCGACTCCTGTTTTAGGAATCTGGGAAAAAGGGGAGCTGTGGGTGGGCTGTGGGCACTGTGGGAGAGCAGAGGGGGCTGGAGGACAGCTTCAGCCCCTAAGAGAGTCAATGCCCATCCCTGCCCCCTCCCAGCCCTGTCTCTACCCCACTCCCGGGACCCACAACAAGGAGTGTGGGGCCATCACACTCAGCGATCTGGTGGAACCTGGACACTGGGTGCTCAGCAGGTGCTCAGGAGACCCAGTGAGAGCTCAGGGACAGACGTCCCCCACCCTGTGGTAGATGAGTGTCAGTGGAAAGAGACCCACTCATGGCACCTAGTGAATGAGGCAGCATTAGGCACTGGAGGTAAAGCTGGAGATATTGGGAGGGTCCTGGGAAGGCCTGGCATGAGACAGAGTCCCTTTGCTCCCTCCTTGGCTGGATATTCACAGAGCAGTGATGTGTGCAGTGAGGGCAATGAACAGGCCCGACACCGCCCCTCCCTGGCCACATGCAGTTGAATCCAAGTGACAAGTGGGCAAAGACACAGACTGACGAGTGTGCCCGGACTCCCCCAACAAGGACAGAAATAGCCAAACCATTGATCAAGGGCTCCCCCTCACAAAGGCTTTTGGCAGCCTGTCCTCTGTGACCAGGCCTGTGTCAGGCAGTCCTTCCAGATCACAGGTGGACAAGGAGTAGGCCCGGTCTCTGACATTCAGGGGTTCCCTGGGACATCTGTGTGGGAGGGTGCTTTGTCCTCTGACTCCCTGCCTACCTGTCTGTCCCCAGGGCCATCTCCTCCATCCTGGGCACATGGCTGGACCAATATCGCCAGGATTTTTTCCAGCCCCCAGACTTTCCCTGCCTGAACGTGCTGCTCAAGTACATGGGCCTCCATATGCCAGGCTCGGACCTGGAACGCCGTGCCCAGCGTCTGCTGTCACAGCTGCAAAGCCTGGAGCCCCCGGAGCCAGAGGCTGGGGGTGAGGAGGGCCGGGGGTGCCTGGCGAGGGCCCGTGGAGGGGACCGGGCGGGCCACGCAGAGCAAGCCTCCATAGAGTGCGGTTGGGCCGGGAGCAGTGCATAGTCCCAGATCCCTGTCCGCATGGCCTGCTGTCCGGGGAGACCTCCCAGGGATCGGATCCTGGACTCAGACAGCACTGAGCGGGGCGAAAAGTTTCCTTCACTTAGGAGGGACGTGGGAAGCCCATCAGGCCGACGATACTTTCTCTTCTTGGAGCTATAGCACCAGCCCCGGAGCGAGATCCGGAAGGAGCGCAAGAACTGCGCCCAGCTCCCGCTGTGGCCCCTGCTGTCGCCTCAGAGCCCCCGCGGGCCGAGCCCGTCCCTGCTGCGGGGGCTCAGCCACTAGGGAGAGCAGGGGCTCAGGTGCTAGTCAGAGCGCTCGTTCACGCTCCTCCGCTGGAAGAGCCACCCGCACCGATGCCCGACGCGGAGGTCGAGCAGGGTCCAGGCCCTGGTCCTGGGGTCGCCGCCGGGCCCGAGCAGCCCCCTGCCCCAGTGGAGCAACCAGCCCCGGCCCCGAGCAGCAGCTCGTGCTGGCTACAGCCCCGAAGGACGGCTTCCCCTCCCCTGGCATTGCATTCTTTGTAGTGTTTCTGGTCTGTATGCACCTGTATAATGGCTTCCTGTACTTTGTTCGTTAAATAAAGTAGAATCTGAGTTTACATAACATTTTACTCTGATCCTTTTCTTTTCCTTTTTTTTTTTTAATAGATATTTTATTTACTGATTTGACAGAGAGAGAGAGCGTGCGACAGCAGGAACACAAGCAGGGGGAGTGGGAGAGGAGAAGCAGGCTTCCCGCTGAGCAGGCAGCCTGATGTGGGGCTGGATCCCAGGATCCTGGGATCATGACCTGAGCAGAAGGCAGAAGCTTAAGGACTGGAGCCACCCAGGCGCCCCTCTGATCCTTTTCAATTGTATATCCAGGTGCCATGAGGTACACTCAGAGTGTTGCTCAACCATTCACTTCTAGAACATTCCCATCACAGAGACCACTGCTCTTCTCCCTGTCTCTGATGTTTACCTGTTCTGGGATTTTCCTGTGCCTGGAATCCTACAATATGGCCTTTTGTGTCTGGTTACAGAACAGAAGAGTGATTCATAATGTTTTTCACTTTTTTATAAAAATAACATTTTTATTACAAAGGAATGTTCCTGACAATGCAAAGATCCTGGGAAGCCGCAAAATGAAGTCTTTTCATTATGTGGGATAGGTTCCCATTTATAAGGATGCCTCGAAAGGCAGAAACCACAAGAGAAATGTCTGGGTCCTTGAGGCACCTTTAAATTCTTTCATTTTCCTGAATAGACCACGTTTATCTTATTGTAATGTGCATATTATAAAAATGTTAAAATCTCACATGAAATCTTCCCATTTACTACTAATATATTTGGTACTAAAGTAAACAGTTCTTTAGGTATTAGCCAGATTATGTTTATTTAGTAAAATAATCATTTGAATATGAAGAAAAGAAGACACATTCCTTCTCCCAAGAAATAATCACCCTTATCACATGAGTCCATCTTCTAGTCCTTTCCCTCTGAGTGCAGTTGAGCCATTTATACGGATTTGCCTCTCAGAATTACACTGAAAAGTACATCCGTGCCATAAATCTCTGTTTCTTTAGGCCCGATTCCTAGAGGAACAGATGGAACCCCCTTGAGCCACATTTCTGGAGTATTGGCCGCAGACTCCTCTATCTATGCTCTCTTTATTAAGGTGGAGCCTTGTTTGGGAAAGGAGGGACCCCGGAGACTCGAGATGAGCCCTGAAATCATGAGGAGGACAAGCCGGCAGTGAGGCTGTCAGGGTCCCCGGCAGTGACCCACAGAGCAGGGACGAGCCTGCCCACAGCCCCCTCATGGGTCCTCCCCCACAAGCATCCCTGCCGCGAGTCCTGGGACTCACCTCCCGCAGGCCCGTCCCGGGACGCGCCCCAGCCACTCCAGCCCCTCGTGCGCCATAACTCAGCTTCTAACTCGAGCAACCAGGCCGTGCTCCAGGCAGCAGAGGGCTGCATGTCGGGCCCCTCCTGTCTGCTTGCGCCCTGGCCATCCTGGCTGGCGCCCATCGTCTCAGGGAGGAACCTCGGATGGCAGCACGGGTCAGTGAGTTACAGACGTGCGTTCATCCGGATGTAGGGTTAGTGGCGACAGTGAGAACCACTGGCACCTCTGTGAGCACGAGAGACCTTTAGAAAGCACACTGGGTGCCCATGGGAGCTGCAGGATGGACTGAGCCTCAGCGAGAAGCGTTGGCACTGGGCATAGCCCCTCCACAGCCCTCAGACTCCTCCAGCAGTGACCCCCTGCCCCTGCCTGCCCCAACCGTGGTGTCCCTCAAGTTCAGCTGGTGCGAGAGAGGGGGCTGCACTTCCCGCTCAAGACACCATGTGAGGAGAAGGGGGAGACCCCTGTCCTCCCCCAGCGGCAGGTGAGGGGAAGTCCACTTCACCTGAACCTGTATGGGAGGCCATGGCCAGTCACCCCTGTCCTCTCTGCCCCAAGATGGAGCTCCCCAGGCACAGAAGACAGATCCTCAGAGAGAGAACACTAGGGGCTCTCCCTGCAGGAAGAGAGAGAAACACCATTGGCTGGGGAGCAGGGGAGAGAGGAGAGCTCTGAGCACGAGGGGGAGGGCTGCCACAGGCTGGGGCGCTGCCCTATTGGTCAGGGGCCGAGGCTGTGTGGGCTTGTACGGGGTGGCCAGACTTCATCCTCCTGAGGTTTCCATCAAAACCAAATTCACCTCCAGAAAATACTTTCAACACCAACCACCAAAAGCCTCTGGGATCCTGGCAGCCAAGGAGGCCCGAGTTGCCATGTACCAATGATTACACGGTGGGGGCAGTAGGGGGACAGGCATGATGGAGCTGAGGGCAGCTCCTTTTGTCTGCTATGGAGGGATAGAGCCCCATCTCAAGGCACCGCAACATTTGTTCCCAAGCCAGGTGACAGTTCAGGGAGCTCCAGGCTGCCAGTGTCCACACTGGGGATTGTCCATGCCCAGGACACAACGATGTCCAGTCCCAGGGCTTGCCTGGGTCTGATGGGGGCGCACCAGTGTTGTGGGATCCCAGCTGAGCGACGTGTCACCCATATGGGAGGTGACGAAGGCTTTCTGGAAGGACAATTGAATCAGGGGGAGCCGGGCTTGCCGGGCAGAGGGGACAGACTGAGGCAGAGGCCCAGAGCCCATGGCCCCAGCGGGCTCACAGTGGGCTAACTTAAACAGGTACAGCTAAGGATTACTGAGTGTCTTTTGAGAACGTGAATCATGTCAGTCAATCTGCAAAGTGCTGCATTCACCCATGGAGCCCACCAGGTAGTGACGTCCCTTTCCCATTATTGGTGCTCCTCTGAGCGGGGATGAGGCTGGATATGAGGCTGCGGCTGGCATGAGCACCACCTGGGGGTCTCCCTACAAGACTGCAGTAGGTCTTCCTTCTCCTCTCTTGTCTTCTCCAACTACCTGTGCGCCAGGACAGGTACTTCCTTCTAAGACTTTAGCAATTTCACCGACAGGAGCGGGCGAGAGGCAGGGAAGCGAAGTCAGGTCTCCAAAGATTGGCCCAGAAACGCATACACACGGAAGGGCGGCTTCATGGGCTAGGGCAGTTGCTATAGCACGTTCTAGGACAGTGGGAGTGGGGAGGGCGCCGGCTTCAGTGCGGGGCGAGGCCCGCAGAGATGGGGGCAGAGCCTAGAGCTCAGCTGGTCCTTGCTGCTCTCTTTATGGCCTGGGGGACATCTGTTGGAGTTTCTCTACAAGGCTGTTGGAATTCTCAGGCCCAGACTCTCCCCTGTGTGTCCTCCTGCTCACAGGGTCGGGATCCTGGCCATGGACAAGTCCTGCAAGGGCAGCAGCCATGCCATCCTCATTGCTGTTTCTCAGCCCTGGCAAGGTCAGGGGGATACACTCCTGGACTGGGATCTGGTTCGGGTGTGCAAAGGATCCCTTCATAACTGGCTCAGGCCTGTGGGCCCCAGACGAAGCAGGTGCCTGCCCAGCCTCTCAGCAAGGGTGGGCTTCTGAAGACAGTGAAGGGTCTTCCTGTTTTGATGGTGTGTATCCAGGCTCGGCGGGACCCTGCTCTTCACCCCTGTTTGCAAGTGGGCCAACTGCGGGGAACTCTTCTAGGACCTGAATGTCGACCTTCCTCTTTCAGTGTCCCCAGGGCCCCTGCGTATGTGCCCAAGCCAGTGAACCCCTCTGCAAGGAAACTGGGGCATGCTCCTCATCACTGGATCTCTAGAGCTGCACTACCCAGCATGGTAGCCCCCAGCCCAATGGGCCTGCTTCTGTATCAGTGAGCCCTGTTTCAAGTGTGCATCCACTCTGGGTGCCAGTGGCCAGCATGTTGGACAGTGCAGAGAGAAGAGCTCCCCCCTCTCGGATGCTGTCCTGGGCGGCGGCTTTGAGTCCAGCACAAGGTTCAGAAACGGAGAGTAGCAACCTCCATGTGATTTGCCTCCTCTTTCGGTCTCTTTAATGCTATCTCTTTCGTAGTCAGGAGCTCCTTTTGTAGCTCTTTCCCATTCCCGCTTTCAGGACTCTCACCCTGAAGTACCTGGTCTCATCCAGGCAGCTGCGGTCATTGGGTTCCCAGTGTCCATAAAATCCCTCTGCAGCCCCTCTCACGCGCTTTCCTAGCCCTGCCCTGGGTTCTGAATGCCAAGCTGCGCCCTAATGTGCTGAGCAAGCCTGAATGCCAAGGTAGCAGGGCTGGGAGTCCGGAGAGCTGGGCGCCCCCTGCTGGAGCGGCCGCAGGAGTGCTGGCTCTTCCCTGGGCACTCCCTGCACAGGAACTTTCCTGCCTTGCGTGGCTCTGGACATGCGTTATTCCTTCCAGCTCTGCATTTCGTTCCAGCAGGCGTCTGCTTCCAGAAACTCTCTCGTCATGGACTCCAGAGAAGGGACTGAGTACAAGGTCATGCTAAAGTAGAGAACTGGGCGTGTGGAACAGGTGCACAGATGAAGCTGGGAAGGCAGAGAAGTTCACGTATACTTTGTTGCTTTCCTATGTGTTTATTACCACCGCCTGAGACTTTTTTTTTTTAACTGAAAGGCACAGGCAAGGTTTGGTGGTTGTGCTAGAAGGAAAAAGCCTTATAAAGGCAAAAGGGAAGCCGTCCAGGAAGCTGCCCACTTTTGAGGTGCAGATCTCACGACAGGACTGTCTTGAGTGGAGGGGTGGGGGGAGAGGAAGGGTCACCTTTGCCCTCCTGTTCCGTGAGACCTGAGACAACCGGCTCCTCCCTCAGCCCAGGTCTGTGGGACTCGGACTGTTCCTCCCTGGAGACCTGGACTCTTCCCCTTCCCTTTGCATGATTTCCCTGTGCAGGGCACCTGACCCCGAAAACTGCCCAGCCCGTCACCCAGGTGAAATGGCTCTGTGTGCTGACAGATCACACCCTCCGCACAGAGCAGCAAACAGACCTCAGTACCTTGGGCGTCTGGCCTCTGAGCATTGTAGGGGTCAAGGTCATCTTCCCAGGGCCCCAGACGCGCCCACACAGCCACCCTGCTGAGCCCCTCTTCCATCCATCGCTGTGACCCCTGTGGACTCCTGCTTGTGCTACAGATTCGGTCCCTGCTCATCGCAACCCCCAGCCTGGGCCTCCGAGGAGCTGCGGCCTGCCCACTGCTGG